TTGAGTCTCCTTTAGAATAAGCAAGAACATAGATCTCTTCTGTTTGTCTTCCAGACTTGTTAGATGAGTGAATGCTTCCAGATTATATCCATTTGTTGAAACCTCTCAGTTGTTACTCCAATTACTGGAGCCTTCTTGTTAGTACCATCAGTTCTTTGATAATCTGTGCTATCACCTGAAAAGGTTAGAAGTCAACCAGTTTTGTGAGCTGTGTTTCTTCCAACTTTTTTTGATACTGATCTCTCTGCAATTGTTAAAAATCTTACTATCCTTAATCTGTACACCGAATAATCCATCCTAGAAACTGGACCCTTTCTACACACAAAGAACTCGGCATCAAGATGGGAGGAAGATTTATTAATAACAAATTGTCATATGCAGTTTTTGCTTATTGTGCTTGCTGAAAGAACTTGTAACACTAATAAAATTTAGAGACTACACACACCCGTCAGCATGGATTACAACTGAATCATATCATGATGAGAAGATTGGGGATTTAAGTGGTTCCATCTTACTTAGGTCAGTAAGGTAGGTGTAATGCTAACCCAAAAGTGGTGCCTCTCTGGTGGTTCAAGTCCACCACCTGCTCCATGGGAGAGTTGGGCAGGATCCTTTACTGTTTCCTAGAAACACATTATGAGTCTGTTGCAACTCTAAGGCAAGGGAGTGAGGGTGTTTATTAAAGGCATAATCAACACTAATGGAAGTAACAACTGGAGCAAGTTGCACTGAGCAATCTGCAAAAGATTTTGTGTTAATAAGCAAAGAAGCTGATTTAAGGACTAAGGTGTGCCTGACCTAAGCCTTGGTTTTTTCCAGGGGCTTCATGCATGCACAGGGTTTCATTCTGTTGAACAGTTTATTAGGAGTCAAGAGCTAACTTGCTTGTACTAAGACCAACCAGTTGCATGCTAAAGCTGGAATAAATACTTAGAGAAGCTGGCCTAGAGGTAAAAGCATGCAGTCTGAATCTGCTGGCTTCTCTGTAGGAAAAAGATGGGCTCAAGTAATTCACTGCCTCTGAAAACCCACCAGAGGGTCAGCTATGAGTCGGTCATGACTCTGGTACACAACAACAGGGGAACTCTGGTGGCCTAAAGGATAAGGACTTAACGCTGCTAACGCAAAGACAAAGGGCTCAAATTCACTAGATGCTCTGAGGGAGAAAGATGGGTAATCTCTTGTAGTCGACAACCTCTGAAAAATCTACTGGAGGATCATCTGTGAGTAAGTTCTGACTCGGAAGACATCATGTGAGTTGGTGTCTGAATTGTTTTGTTGAAGAATGTTGAAGACACTTGACTGCCAAAAGAACCTGTCTTGGAGGGTGCAGCCAACATGCTGTTTGGAGGCAGGAATAGCTAGACTTAATCTCATAGAATTTGTATTTATCAAGAGGGACCAGTCCTGGAGCTCTGGTGGCCTACTGGTAAGAAGCTGCAATTCTGAAGAGAGGCAGTTCAAATCCACCAGCTGCCCCTCTGGGAGAGGATAATCTCCTGTGTGACTGACCCGCTGGAGGGTCAGCTATGGGGCAGTTCTGATTTAGTGGCACACAATTGACAGGGACTGTGCCACGGGCTCTCAAGATTATCATCTTAATGGATACAAGTGCTTCATTGTTTTCCAGCCAGATTGGCTGGTGGAGTGAAACTACTGACCTTCCAGTTAGAGCGGACTGAACCAGCAGAGCTTAATGGGAAAGTATTCACACTCATTCACTGCCCTCAAGTTAGTTGACTCACAGTGGTCCTCAGCTGGGTGTCTTGAGCCTGTAAATCTCACCAAAAGACTTCTCATCATTCTCCCTCAGAGTGCTGGTGGATTTGAACTGAAGGCACACTTGGCCTTTGGGGTTAGCAGCCCAACTTAATACAAACTACACCAGAGCTCCCTAATGTGAAAGCAGCCAGACAATTTGGAAACGGGTATATATTCCAATGAACTTTGTGTCATTTTTCCCCCAGCTGTTTAACAGGCCAAATTTACATGGCATACAAAGTGGATTTGGCCTGGAGGCCATAGTTTGCCCCAGGGGATGCTGTCGGATTCAGATTCTTTGGCTGATCTTGTTGAAGTAGACAGCCAGGCCTTTCTTCAGAGGCCCCTCTGGGCAAACTCAAAACTGCCAACCTTGTAGTTCATTGTTCTTGCTCACTTCCATTGGGTGGGTTCCAACAATTGGCAACCGTCAAGTTTCTAGGGCTGTGAATCTACAGGAGAAAATGCCTCTTTCTTGAGAAGTGGCTAGTGGATTTGAACTGCTAGACACAAAATGTGTATACACAGTGTTTGGTACAGGCTTAAAGTCAGCTATTACTAACACAGCACATCTCTTTGAGTATACTGGGTGCCATTAACATGGCTCAGCTGATAGAAACCCTGTGTAAAACAGTATCTGATCCTGTGCCATCCTCACCAGTGCTGTAGATGAGTACCAGGAGGTCCAGAATTCTGTGTAATAGAGGACGTGTAAAATGCAGATGACTTTGGGAAACAATTTGTTGAAGCTATGTCAAAGCAGAGGGATAACAGGCATTTTCGCACCACCAGACAAGCAGTACAACTCCCTGTGAACCCTTAAAATGAAGGCGAGACTGGACATGCCACTCTGTACTTGATTGTCCCTGAACGGTACATGTATAAACTCTCGTTCTGTGTATGCTTTTATGTTTCTGTGTATGTTTTGCTATGTGTATTTAATATATAAAATAACCAAGTTTCAGGAAGCTGGTTAACTGCCAAATCTGCTGAGTTCAGCTATGTTTAAAAACAAAACAAAGAATTTATTTCCATATTTATTTGCTGTTTCCAAATATAAAAAAAGGTCAAGATTCTTACACCAATTACTTCAAATGAGACCATGCAAAGCAATTCAAAGTGTGTACAACAATCAGTTCCCCCTTCAGTTTTACTGCTTTAGACAATGGTGTGGATCAACAAAATTGAATGGCATGTGCCTGCTTAAGAATGTCACCTGCTTAGGAAACACAGGCCAGTTTTTACTTCTTGTCTACAATTCTTAATTTACAACCTTCCTCCTCCCCCCCAAAAAAACCCAACCAAAACCTAAAACACAAAACCCAACAAAACTTGAGAGGCACATGGAACCAAGTAATTTAGCTGCCCAATTTTTTTTCCACAACCACACAAAAAGCACAAATGATAGTCCCAACACTCTGCAAAGATGGGAGAGTGGAGATAGTAGACACTGGTTTCTGTAGTAGTTTCAACTGTTCAATCTTATTTCTTATGAGAAATAAATCTCCTTAGGGTCATTCCTATTAATTTGGCTGCAGGTTCCACAAGAATGAAGAACTCTTCCCATACCTCCTCATGTGAAACTGAAAAGCACAATTGTAAAGTACTTCTGCTGCACTGTGCAAACAGAAGACCTGGGCATTTTGCTAGTTGCATAGACTAAGGACAGTTGGCGAGATGGCACTGAAGAAAAAGCCTGACCCAAGTGGCACTACTTAGTCCAAATGTTTCTGACCAAAGAAATTATACAACAATATTTATAGGTTAACTTTTAAAGAGATGGATGTCATCAATACTGTACATATTTTACATGTCAAATACATAGTCTGTTTTATAAAATAAGATCATGCATTATTACCTCTAAGAATATCAGGTACAAGACCCCCACCCCCCCAGTACTTGTGACAGCATTTCAGGTGGAAGCAATCTTATATACAAAAACAATCCAGTTTCTCTGCTGTGAAAGTATAATTTAAGGAACTTTAAGAGATTGCTAAGGAAAAAACTCAGTCCATTGAAGATGGTAGAAAGTGTCAATTTGTAGAATTTAAAATGTTTCCTTTTTTAAAAAACCCAGAATACATAACTTCTGTACAAAGAAAAAAAAATATAAAAAGTCTGGGTGATCCTATTTGATCACACTACATAATTTAGAATGAAATCATGTCATTGGCTAAAAGTTATTTTCTAATTTATACTCATTCCTTTGATAGCATTAATTTGTGAACTAAAGTTTCTACTTAGTTCAGCTGCATTTATGGCACAAGATTCTCGTTTTCAAAACAGTGGCACCCATTTTCCTTAAGTGTAACAGCACTATTTTTAGCAGCAATTTTATTTTTTTTTTAAAGGTTAACAATTAGAACAGGATGGTTTAGCTATATTCTCTACTTTTATACTCACTAGTTAGAATATTTACAGAAAGTTTAAGTCTACATAGAGAACAATCCTTTTTTCTCCTCCACCCATATCTCAATCCTAAGATTTCTTTCACCTTATTCCTGACCTTGTTGGTTGGGGAAGTGTGGGAGTTTGAGAAAGGTGCTCATGTGTTTTAGATGGGACTAAGTGAGTATAAAGGCAATTCTGAGACAAAATAATCTGGGGTATATTACACTGCCCTACAAATTTAGTTATAAATAACACCTATCAATAACCTATCAAAGATGAGATAGTCCAACAGCGCCCTGACAATATTAGCCTGTAACAGCTGTACTGTAAGAAAGCCACTTTTCCCAACTGTGAGGTAATGGCCATTGTCTGGGCATTTAAGGTTTAACTCCAATCTTGTGGTTACTGGTAAACAGGGACGTTAAACTGAACAGGCATCAGTAAATTAAAAAATGGAAAATAGGGTTTAAAAGTAATTTATGTTGAGGCGAATTTGGTTCTAAATACTCTGTGCAAAGGGATTACTGATAAAGGGTCTTGGCAAACGAACATAAAATTTCATGAACACAAGTTTTCACAATGCAGTATATTTACAACCTGTGTTTAGCTACCAAGACTTCCTAAACAATCACCAACTCAACGGGGGTTGCACTCTGGTTGAAACCACTCTTGGGCTACAGGTGAAAAGCCATCAGGTGGCTAGGGACAGAATACCAGTTGTGAGACAAATGGGTAGACAATTCCTGAATGAAAAGCACAATCAAATCTTTTGTCAAAATAGTTACTAGATAATACAAAAGTTTAGGTTTACAAATTAACATTGTGATCTTGTGGAAATAAATTTTGGGATGGATATAAAATTTAATACTAATATATTTTTTTTTTACTATTCTCATCAAATAACAAATATTGAATATTTGTTAATTCTGTGAATGAGAAAGCAATTTGGGAAGTGTGGGGGAATATACCCACTAGTAAGCTGGTCTGACAAAGCACAGACTGATGCCAAATGGACAAAAATTGTGGAAAAAAAAATACTGTGGAAAAAAAACCAACCAAAATAACACATGGGTGAGGGGGCACAGTTAAGGCATCTTAAAAAGAAAGGGGGAAAAAATTCACATGGCTTTGGCTTATTAAAATATTTTACACTTTTTTTTAATATATAAAAGAAGATTTGAAAGCATCTGAAAACATGCAAATTGTATGAAAACCTTGCATGGCAAATTCAGACAGTTTGCAAGCGTCATTCAGATGTTTGCCAAGGAAAATAAAGCCTCTCTTCCCATGAGACTGCCCAGGGTGAGAAGAGGTCCCCAGGTTCTCTCTATCTTACACTGGATGGCAACCCGGAGGTCTGTGCAGCAGTTACAAACAAGGTGCTATTGTCTGGAAGGGGAGGGACTGTGGAATTTCCATTGGTTGGGGAACAACCCAGCTTTAGTTTTTCCAGATACTCTGCATGTACAGGTTTATGACACTGGAGAACTTTGATGGCATCTTCTACTTTGAACCATTCTCTCTTCCTTCCTAGAAAATAAGATGACATTCATAACCATAAAATGAATTTTTAAACCATGTGTTGCCTGTTAACAATACTCACTTATCCCCCGGAAATATTAACTGTTTTTGTTAGAAATGGCTAAGACATCTATGATCGTTTTATGCCCATAGGTAAAAAGAACCAGACAGTTAAATTATTTTCACTAGAAGGAGAATTAAACATTTTAACATCAAGAATTTAAGGAACTTAGAAAAAGGAAAAAAAAGAATGAAGGAAGAAAAGGAACTTAATTGTGTAGAACGCTAACAGGGATTCCTGGAAAAAAATAACATGTAACAAGAAAAAGGTAAGTGACATTTTAAATGAGAATAAAAAGCACTAACAAAGCCTTAGGCATCTAAGTAACTTAGGCATAATAAGTAGAGACATTGTCATTTTGAGTCTACAGCTGTGACTGTGGGTAGATAATGGTCAACAATTTAGGAAAGCAAGGCGTGCCTAAACAAAAAGGCAAGGGCTTGAACTAGTGTACTCTAATATCTTATCTAGTATCACTCAGGGCAGTCAGTAAGTGCGTTAAGTGCGCAGAGCAAACGTGCTAAGGATTTGGCAGGGAAAGGACAGAATGTGTTATGTGTATGGGTTATAAACTATAGAAGGTCCTTCAATTTGAAGAACAGACCCCTGATATATGGCTATTACACAGACTGAACTTTATTCCTAAAAATCAAAGTCCTCTAATTTTCCAATCTGAACCCGAATCATCACATAATGGCTACAACACAAAGAGACTGCTCAGTTGTGTAGTGAGGGTGGGCCATTATCGCTCAAAGTACAGGCAGGAAAATAGGAAGAATCTGTTGGGGAAGAATCTTAAAGATCATTCAAATGTGGAGACACATGCTGATATTCAAAACACATTTAACATGCAAACTGTGAAGCGGGTATGTAATATTTAAGAAAATTCCACTAACAAGGAAGGAAACTTACCTATATTAACAGAATCTTCCCAATCTTCTAATATCTCTGTGACTGTGAGAACATAAACATATGTTCTGTGCTTTCGGTCTTGGTTCTGCTTGAATATAAAAAGGAAAGCATTTTAATCTACAAGCTATGTGCATGTTTTCAAGGGGGAAAATATTAGTGTGCCTGCTATTTGGCAACACAGGCAAAAATACTACTCAAAATTACAATCCAACATAAAAGTTATTTCATACAAAACAAAATTACAATTTTAGGCTACAAGACAAGAATTGGAGCTTCCACACTACCTAATGGTGCCATTAAGTCTCAAAACTAAACTTCTAGCATTTTTTTTTTAATTCACTCTGACAAAATTTTCATACAGAAAAACTTTGGGATTTGAGTGGCATCTACACTAAAGAACTGCATTCCAGCAGTTTTATCTGCTAGGGTTAATCCTGGCAGTCTTTCCAAACTGTGGGAAAGTGTTTCCACAGGGACCACTGTGGGGTAAGTGGAACATTCCTCTTAACAAGTTTATCAAAATGAAAGGAAACCACAGTGCTGCCAGTTGAAAATAGAAGGACCAGATCACAGAGAGTTAATGATTGTTTATAAGAGCACTTATTCAACTGGTCTGAGAGGAGGTCTGAGCAGTGGTATTCTTAAAGCTTCCCTTAAGACCCGAGTGAGCTCTGGTGGTCCAGCTGGTAAGCAGTTGTGTTGCCAACCTGGTGGCTCAAAACCATCAGCTGCTCCGTGCAAAAAAAAATGGGCAGTTTCCTCCTGTGCAATTTACTGCCTCTCAAAACCCACTAAATGTCAGTTTTGAGTTGGTTCAGACTTGATGGCACACAACAACAATGAACTATGCAGAGCTCTGGTAGAAAATATCTGAGAATACGGAATTTGAACAGTGTCAAGCACCGTAGTTTGTTAATACTATTAACTGAAAAATTTTCACTATAATCTGAGACATTTTCCTTCGAAAACCTTGCAGCAAATGTGAGGCTACTTATTCCATGACTTCTCTGCCTTATGGAAAACTCTCAATATGATTCTCAGTTTTACCAGAAGATGGTGCTGTTGAACTGAGCAAGCAAGTGCTAGTCGGAAAAGAGTGACTAAGGACTTACTCCTAACGATTATTTACGTCAGAGTTAGCAACTTTACCAAGTTCTATTCAAAATCAGGAAATTTAAAAATTGCTGTAAAAAGGTTTAATTGTTTGTTCACAAGTAAACAGTTTTACTAGAAGAATCGACTTTCAGAGGCTGTAAACTACACGGGAGATACTCATTTTTCTCCCTCAAGAGTAGCTGGTGGACTTAAGCCAGGAGGGACTTTGGGACAGGCAGCTCTGCTCCTGTGAGTCCACCAGAACTCCTTAGACAATCCCTTTAAGGGATCTCAATCCTTTAGGTGATGCTAAAGGTATGTCCTCCTAAAAAAATTCTTAATAGTATACAGGGAACTTGTATTTCCTCCACTGACTTTCATACAGAAGTAATTACCACCATTATGACAGTGTATACAATTGCATACAACTAATGAATATGGCAAATTTAAGCGGCTTAACTTACCTCTCCCCTAATTTTCATCACTTTCTCATCAGCCAGATTTATCTGGATGGCTTGGAAGATACACTCTATTATCACCAAGTTGAAGATTACTTTGGTAACTTACCTCAAATATGCCCAGGAGTCTTCCTAGTTTTCCTTTGACTCCAGCCTATTGAAGAATAGCAATGTTTTACTTTTCCCCCAATAATGAATGTTTACTCCTACTATTCAGATTTTTTTTAAAAAAAAATCAAATCTAAATACAATAGGCCACTCCCACATGAAACCATTTTCTTGCTGCTTTAAAGATTTTTAGCTGCACTAAGATTCCGCCGTGTGGTTTGCATAAAACATGGCTTAATCTTTTCCACATGTAACTTCTCATTGATTAGACTTAACATTCATTTTGTGAGAAAAGACCAAGGACTAAAAAGAACAATGTTCTATCAATTTGGGACAAAATTCACACATAGAAAGACCTTTACCATGAATAAATAATCTCTTCCTCCTTGTTAAAGAAAGGCTTGTCTTTCTCTGTTCTTCTCCCATGATGCAGGAGACTCAAGGCTACTACAAAGTCCTCATTACTCATACCTAGTTCTGCAGTAGCTGCACTGGAACCTCAGTCTGCTCAAATCCACACTACAGACTAAAAGATACTATATGCCACTGCCTCTAGTCAGTGTTCTTTCTGCAGGAGGTCACTCCAAGAGCCTTTGAAACCTTTCCTAGTGTATGCTATGGTCTAATCTGAGAGTTTCAGAATCACTTCCCACTTAAGCCATAACCACTATTCAACAATCACTGCTGGTACTTAATGTAGGGTATGTGCAAAAAAAAAAAAAAAAGCTGCTTTTTTAATCTATTGCTTACCAACTGCAAAGCAAGCAGGTAAAATGTCTTTGTGCATGCCATATTTTAAGGACAAAAGTGGTAAAATAAGAGCAACATGCTTCTTATTCACTTATTGTTAGGTGCTGTTAAACTGACCCAGATAAAGAGACTCCATGTACACCACATGGAAACCGCCTGATCCTGCGCCATCCTCCTCCCTCCACTGTGCTGAAAGCCCACTGTCCAGTCACCGTGCTTGTCCATCATGCGGACGGTCTTGAGTAACAATGAAGCATGAACTAAGATTTGTGTTTCTGAGCATTCTTGCACAGTATACACTAATCCTGCTCTTGGGGTGAGGTCATTATGCTCTTCAATTCCAGGGGCCTTCTATAGTTACCAGGCAGAAAAATCTGTTCACGAACATGTTAACTGTAGTCAAAAGCTTAAAAATGTTGCATAAGACACAACAAAAGCACTAGATAGTCTGTCCGTTTATTTTCTTGCTGTAACCACCATGTAACACAACAGAATGTCTAGCTTGCAAACATCAAGCAGAAGACTGTCCTATAAAATCCCAAACCATCTTCGTGTGTGTGAAGAACAAACAACCTACTATTGGCCTCACCTCTTCATAAACCTCCCTCACGGCGGCGCCTCCAGGCTCCTCCCCGGGTTCCATTCCGCCTCCGGGGACAATCCACTGGTCAGGGTACCGACTGCTACTCACCAGCAGCACCTGTAAGGAGACCCTGATTACGACCTTCCGTCTGCTGGTGGCCGCTCAACCAGGCCACACCGCGCAGCTTCAGGAAGGGTATGCATTCGGGGAAGGTGTACATTCACTGGAGAAATAGCTGGTGTGTTGTTCTGGGTTTGTGGGGTTTTTTTGTGTGGGTTTTTTCTTTTTTGTTTTGTTTGTTTTTTTAATTTAGTTAAAATTATTAGGGCCAAACATGAAAGAAAACAAGTATCAGTTTTGGCCAGCACTGTTTTTCTGCAATTTGAATTCAATAATAGTATGATCATTACAAAATCCTTGTATATTTAATGAACTCTTAAAAATTACCAGATAAAGGGAGCTCTGATGGCCTAGTGGCAAGCTGTACTGTAACCCCAGAGGTACTCGGTTTGAATCTACCAGATGCTCTGCTGGAGAAGAGACAATCTCCTCCTGTACCAGTTACAATTTTGTAAAATTCTAATTATTAGATACTGAAAGTGGAGCCTTATTTTACTACCCTCAGAAGAGTTGCATGCACTGACATCTGTGGTCACGCTGTTATTATATCACTTGCTGTCCAGTCAGAACCAACTCATACTGATCCTCAGCGGACTTTAAATCACATGCCCCATCTTTTACTTGTGGAGCTACTGTGGATTTGAACTGTCTGCCTTTGGACTGGCAGTGCAACACCTTACCCACTAGACCCCAAAGTTCCCTGTGGTCATTTTACTTATACTTAAGTTACTCTCATCTATAAAGTGGTAAGAACACGTAGGAGATAGCAGATGCTGTTGTATAAAGGGTAATGAAACCTATGCAAAACTAATTCTTGGTAAGGAGAGCACTTATAAGGGGTGCTTTCACATTCTAAACCTGTATAAATAGCAGGAGTCACTCCATTTCCCTCTAGCGTCACTGATTTATGATCGTGAACAAGGGCCAACAAGCTGTGATCCCAAATTTTTGTATAGCTTGCATAACAAGACTGATTTTTACCTTTCTCAATGTTAAAGAATTCACATTTCACTGCCTTTAAGTGACACTGTACTGAACAGAGTCACAGTCATTGACCTCTGAGTAGCTGTGACTGAGATGATCAGACCTCAGACCACAAGTCCAAATTATTTATCTGACTTTTTAAAGGAAAATTCTGTGGCCCCGTAATCTAAAAGAAACTGCCAAGTTCAATGTGCCAGACTTTTAAAACAAAAAATGTTAAGTTTTACAAAAAGCAAATGCCAACAAAACTGTATCACAGATGAAAAGTTTTAGATATCAACTAACCTCTTTGAATAGATGTTACATATCTTAAAAATGAAAATTTCTGGGCTATGTTAGGTTGATATTTGTCAAATTAGACATCAAGTTCTAATAAATAACTCATGTTTATAAAGGTAAAAAAGTACCTTAACAAACTCCTGTTAAAAGCAAAATCACCTTAGTCTACCACCTTCAAGTAAACTTAAGCAATTGTTAGCAGAAAACATGCCAAGTTGAGAGCATGGCGTCAGTCCTCTGACGCCCTCTGACGGTTCTACCTGCCCAGCCCCTGCTCCTCTGCCAGCAAAGAGAGGCCCTGACAGGTTCACTGCCAGCACAGGCTCCCCCTCCTGAGTCAGCTGCCAGAAACTCAACCTTCCCCTACTAGAAAGTTCCAGGCTGAAAGTTCAGCAATTCTCACCTTTCCCCATAAAATTCTGAGTTAAAACGGAAGAGAATTATACTACACCAGCTGCAATCAACTCAGTTCCAACTCATGGCAAACCTCACGTGTGTCAAAATAGGGCTGTGCTCAAATGGACAACTTTTATAAGTAGATCCCCAAGTTTTATTCCACGTTGCCTCTGGGTAGACGTGAGCCTCCAAGCTTTGGTTGGCAGCTGAGTGCATCACTTATCTGCACCACCCAGAGACTCCGAGGGAACCTCTACCCAGACATATGTTGTTTTACAGCTGAGTCCAGTGCGTTTCCAGAGGCAGGAAATCACGTAGGAAAAGCAGCACACCTTTCTCCAGGGGAGCAGCCTCTGGGTTAGCAGTGCAACTCCTCACCACTACCCTGGCTCAATCTGATGGAGAAGCAGCACATTTTTGTGATCCTCAGAGCAGTGATCGATATTCCTCTCACTTTTACCTGGACAAGGCTCTTGTGCTTCCATTACCATGATATTTAACTCCTTATCAAAACACTGATAAGACAATGGGAAAGTCCAAGGAATGTACTCTACAAAGTTGACAAAACCACAGCTAACTAAGACTGATGGCCATCTGAGACCCTGCCATGTGTTACGGTAAGAGCGTTTCAGATTTGGAGGCTTCTAAAGAATTAGCAGAAAAGACACAAGTTTGAACTTGAAGCTGTTTTGAAGATTATAACCATTGTGTATTCCATTCCTTGATATACAAAATGATGGACTGATGGTCTTTCAGGGCCCCTTATTGTAAAAACCGAGTATCTGCACAGGATTATGGAATGTTAATTGTTGTAAACCATCCTGTCAGAACTGACCCATAGCTGACCCTCGAACAGGTTTTCAGAGGCAGTTAATCACACAAGAGATTGCCCATCCTTCTCCTACAGAGCAGCTGGTGAACTTGAACTATGTGCCTTTGGGACTGTGGCAATGCTTCTGATGACTAGGCCTCCTCATCCTTGGAAACCCTATGGGGCAGATCTACTTTGCCCTTCAGGGTTATTGTATTAGAATCGACTCATCAACAATGGCTATTAATTCCCCTGTGGCCACTGTAAACCCAAGTATCTTAGATCCTAACAACACTCAATTTGGCCTTAATCAGTTCAATTCTCCCTACCAAAGAGTTGCATCAGTTTACAAAGAATTAGGCTTGTTCCAAAATTATGCCAACTTGTTTTATAATTACTGAGACTTAATGGATGAAATGAGGGCAGAACAGAGTGTGATTAACCTGAAAGCTCTGTAAAGATTCAAGAAAGGGGGCAGGGAGTTTATGGAAAAACTGCTCTCAAGTCACCATTTCTACCCAAATAATGCATGGCAAGAAAGTTTTGTATACTGTACAACACCCATGAATTATTTTTGCAGACAAACTATATCAATATTTCTAACTTGTTGATGATTCCAATTTTTTTTTACCCATTCAACAGATTTAATACCAAGTCTTTGTCTTGGTGCCTTTTGAGATTGGGTTTGGTTTGCATCCTCGTTTCTAAAGCAGCGCTTGCTCTCCAGGCAGGATTCCTTTCTTACTGGGCAAAACTACTTTCTCCAACACAGGAAATCACTTTTGTTCATCTGACACAGCCCTCACCGAGGTGGCCAACCTCAGCTTAGTAAGTGCACAGATCAGAACACTCAGGGTGGAGATACCATGGGAGGGCAAGGCCAATGTGCTGCAGCCCCACACGTTCTACTCAGCTGCCAGCACTCACTTTGAGAATGCTGGACTATCTGGGGCGGGCACACAGGGACCCATATTCCTTGCTTGGATGAGATGAGTCTAACTGGTTACTCAAGAGCCCCTGTTCCTTGCACTACTATCCTGCTGCCAGAATGAGGTGGGCATTACAGCACCTGCACACACGGGACTCTGCTGTTGAGCAGAGCTGCTGCCCAGGGAGCGTCCAAGGCTGAAATCTTTATCAAAGCAGACTGCCATCACATTCTTCCACAGAGCAGCTGGTGGGTTTGAGCCACTAACCTTTTTAGTTAGCAGCTGAGCAAGCGCACAACTAATCTGTCTCTGTGCTCCTCCTAATAAGAATGGACATAGACAAGGGAGCCCTGGTGGTCTAGTGGCAAGAAGCTGTACTGCAAATCTAGAGGTATTCAGTTTGAATCTGACAGATACTCTGCTGGAGAAGGAGGGAGGGACAATCTCCTCCTGTACCAATCAGATCCGATTTGACGGTATACAAACACACACACACACACACACACACACACACACAATTAGAAAAACAGAATTGATATGTACAGATTTTTCCACAATACAATAATTTATCATGCAAAAGGATTCATATGAATAATTAATAATATGTAGTATCGGAGTGATTGGCCTCTAAACTATTGCTTTAAAAAGGAGACTTGCTAATATTCTCCGTCGAGGGTGTAGACCTGTAACCTAGAATGTTTCATTACTACACACTCATTTCCTCCTATCAACTGACAAACCTGCAAATGGAATTGAGCTTATACACGCTGTTCACCTCTGCCAATAATCACACAGCTTGTCCTGAATCCTGCTCATTCTGGACTTTCTGGGGCTCTAGGGCTGCATTATATAATGCAGCAGCACAGAATCACGTGGCTAAAGTTACGATTAAGGAAAAGGAAGGATTATGTTCCTTAGTCTACCAGTCCACATTTCAAGTACTCAGCAGCTACAAGTGGCTACATACGGGTTAACACTGACCCAGAACATTTAGAACACACACATCCTGTTCAGACAGGTCAAACAGTTAACTGGCTCATCACTAACACTCTTTCAAAAGGAAAAGCAGAAAAAAAAACAAAAGCAGGTTAGTAGGAGAGAAGTATCCTGTGTACGACACTCTAATTAAATCCACTCTTTGTATCTTGAGCTCTACACGTGTAGAGAACAGTCTTAACAACTGCCAAAGTTAAAATAGTAATTTAACTTTTTTTTCTTCAGTTTACCGCCAAGCTTAAAGAGAGACAGGCAATTTAGAGATAGAAGTTGGTGAATTCTGTTCTGTATTTACAAATCGTGTAATCTTGAATAAAGAACTGTATAAGATGGAAAAATAATTTTAAGTTTTAGGCCTTTCCCACAAAAGCATACATTGTGATATTTTGAAGACGGGATGGAAAAATAGATAAAAATCAAACACGCTTATTTGTGCTGAAAATAGCAAGAAAATATATGCCATTAGTACTGTTACGTGCAGTCACCAAACTGACTTCCACTCCCAATAAAGCTCTATGAAGAAGAGATGGAAACCTTGTCCAGCCTCACACTGGCCATCCTCAAGACTTAGGCAATGCTCACACCCACGACACGAATCCATC